AATTGCCTTCCTTGTGTATCTTGGGTAGTCCGTAGGCTGTCGGTGGTATTGCGTACTTTTTGTTTAAAGATTTCATCATCCATCTGTAAATTTACCCATTTGTATGCATTTTCTTGAGCATATTCTTCAGTATTCCGTTGATCTTCGTGGTTGGATCCTTCCTTAGTATTTGATAAGTGTTTCCTAGGATACTTTCCACTTCTCCGTGTGATGCTTCCTGTCCATTACAACTGTCGCTCCTAACTTATCTGCCTGAAGAACTATTTGGTCATTCATTTTCCGAATACCAGCCAATCTGCTCCATTTTATACGTTCTTGATGTGTCAGGATACGTGGGATTATTTCATTGTCGCGGTCTATAAGAATTCTTAAAAGACTTTTAAGATAGTTCTGATAGGCCATGCTCTCTTAAGCGTTTTTTTACTTTTATTTAATATATGTGATGATACAACACTTAGGATTCCATAAATTCATGCTAATTAAATGATGATGACGAGGGAATACAGCATCGAATATACAGTAAGACAAAATGATTCATTTGCAATCTGTGCTTAAATTCTTATAAATGCAGGCCTAACTAAAAACGCAATGAGTTGAGTTACAGATTATATCATTGAAATTTTTTTAATTCAATGCAAGTGTTTAGGGCTATCAAGATATAGAAGATAGGAATAAGACTTGACTAAGGACTTAGTTAACTTAAACTGTTGAAGATGGTTTAAAGAGTTTTCCCACGATGAGAAAAGTAAGCCTAAGTATGTCATTGATTTTTATTTGGCCTTGTCTCCAAAAGGCTATCTTATTCAGATTGGACCACAGTTTAGGCCTCGCCACAACATAATATGCTAGAAGTGGGTTGACCTCGTCGCAACTTAGTCTTGTTGTCAAGTCGACTTAATAGAACGCACCTAGTCCGAAGTCGTCTGCCATAGTAGTTGTCATGATTCCCAGCATCCGACAGTGGACTTTGTACATTTTCAAACGTTTCGCCGGCATCGTCAGTGAGCTTTGCCGTTCTCCGCACCAAGCTACGAACTCGTCAAAGAGACAAGTGAAGTCAATCCCTCGGCAAACGTTCTGCCAAAAACGGTTATACTATCATTACTCTTTCTGTCCTGGCCTATCTATCTACTCTTTACCCTCTTATCCAACTCCTGACCTATCACAAAGTTTGGACTAGGTGCGTTCTACTAAGTCGCCATGACAACAAGACTAAGTTGCGACAAGGTCAACCCACTTCTATAAATCGAAAGGAGACTGCGACCATACAAGAGGCCATATATTCAAAAATATGCTGGAGTTTGTCCTGTGTAAAAATAAAGCAAATAAGTGAATTTAGCAGCATTAATTACTTAGATGAGGGCAGAGTAACGCACCTTCCATTCGACAGAGTGCATTCATCTGAAGAATGCAATTACCCAGGAAAGCTTCTTCAGATGCTCGGGCCTTGAATTCAGCAATGACAGCGCGAAGAAACAGCTTCTCATATATGGACGTGGCGAAACAAATCGCTTGAACTTTTGGTGTAGTAAACATTTCTTTTAGAGCTATATCGATATGCTGCATGCTGACTGGGAAGATGATCCACATTCGAAAGGAATAAAGGTGACTCGGTAAATGATAGTAAAGGAGAATGTGAAGAAATGCAAAATTCACTCATGAATACTGACCAGGTCCTTTTTTTTTAGAATTTTGATCGGCACCTTCATCTTTTGCAATCTCATGCGCTCTACGACAAATGTCCAAAGCACGTCGTGCATCGCCCGACACAGCAGCAACTTTACGCGCAGCAAGCTCAATAGCCTCATCCTGGAATGGTGAGTAAGAGTAGGCCTTAAAAGTTTGTTGCGGATACATTATAAAGCATAGGAAGCTATATACGTGGAAAAAGTGGCAAACCAAAATAATCGAGACAATCAGAAGAGCTATGAGCTTATGAATATACAGGTTTACTTGAGAAAAATATTACTAGCACACCTTAGCATTGTCGAATGCAATGCAAAAGTAAGTAAGACTGCTTTGAATTTAGCTCAAACAATTTGACTAGATGTATCTCCAGCTTCATCCTTGAACCTATTCGAAATATATTCAGCAAATATACCATTTTGAAATTGTGATTATCGAGGTTTATAATATCAATATTATGTCTCCCAAACTCTTCTCTTATGCTTATGCCTATGCCCTCTTATTGCCTATCCTCAATTTTAAATCTTACGAAGGTGTGTGCTTACCTGTTGATATGCCGTACTCCTAGCTAAGCATAATTGCCCTTGCAGTTATAGTCTATCTTTACTACCCGACGATGCTCGGTAATTATGCTCAATTCAATCACAACTTGTGTCATAAGAGTGTATGTTTGCACATGGGCTATTAAGGCCATAGGCAGTTTGGATTACTATCTAAGACTACATTTCTACTCGCACACTTTATTTACTTCTATATAGATAGCAATATCTGTAAGTCTTCATAAGCTTACTCTGATTAAACGACTATACAGAAACTGTATGTTACTTTATATCTTCTTTTCTTCATTTTACAAGCTTAGCTATTGAGATTACAATTTCTTGTTGAAGCACATGATGAAGAGAATCGTAGTTAAATATCACCAGAAGACGTTTGCCCATTGGCATTGTACTGCAGCCGTCTAGACTTAATACGACGTTCCGGTTGATACAATCCACGAGATATCTTCTAACGTTTCGGGTGAAGACGGGCTGAGCTTTCGTTCGTCATATGACTGGGACTCATTCTTGCAAAGGCCTCGAGTTAACACTAAGTCAAGAAGGCTAACTGGATTTTTTTCTATATAATATATATATATATATTTCTTTTTTGCGAGCAAAACTTAAGATATAGACTTATTGACTTAGTGTAATAAGATGTATTCACCCTATTTCGTCTAAGGTGATGAAGGACTGGTAGTAGAATTTTCCCACAATGATATCAGTTAAGCTGACCTTTTCATTGAATTTCACATAGCCATGCTTTCCCAAAAGTTGTTCTCATCCAGGGTGGACTGCAGTTTCGACCTC